GAGGAGGAGGAGGAGGAGGAGGAAGAAGAAGAAGAAGAAGAAGAAGAGGAGGAGGAGGAAGAAGAAGAAGAAGAAAGAAGAAGAGGAGGAGGAGAAGGAAGAAGAAGAAGAAGAAGAAGAAGAAGAAGAAGAAGAAGAAGAAGAAGAAGAAGAAGAAGAAGAAGAAGAATGTGGGAATGTGCGAATGTGGGAATGTGAGAAGAGGGAAACTTTGGATCCTTGGTGCCCTCTGAGCTTGGTTGTTTTCTTGCAAACGTTTCATGACCGAACTAGGGAACATGTTCAGTGCTAGAAGTGGGAACCCCACTCCCTTCTAGCACTGGTGATGTAATCAAGTAGGATCATGAAACGTCTACAAGTCAACCACCAAGCTCAAGAGAGCAACAAGGACTCCGTAGGCAGGTGTGTCCGGCTGCAGATGCTCTACCTGGCCTGTGGCTGTCTTGAGTTTGGCGAGGACGCTGGCGTATCGCTGCAGGTGGTCTCGGAATGGCTTCTGCAACACGGTGTAAAGCCCTATGGCCAGACAGCTGTCAGGTGAGAAATCAGCAAGGAATTCGCACAGGGCGGGTTTCTGCAACTTCCAGACATCGCTGCAATCAGAAAGAAATAACAAGACCACAGAACTGTCAAACTGGAAACTGTTGAACATGCAAGTAGGAGTGAGTCTTACATCAGCCTTCACTCATTGGTTCATTTTCCCCGGCGGGAAAATGAATAAGTTTCAGTGGCTGACAGACTGGACAATGTTGTGGCTCCGTTGCCTGAGCCTGGGCTATCGACAGATGCAGACTCTGAGAGTGAGGGGGAGGAGTTGGCAAGGCCTCCCTCTCCAGGACCCTCCTCTCTGGCAATGCCTCCGGAGGACACCGAAGGCCAAACGATAGGCTCAGAGCCAAGCACGTCCCCGCAGCCACAGGTGGACAGCGACAAAGAAGATAAGTGCTGGCTGGACCCTCGGCAGAGGCGCAAGGAGAAGCGTGCACAGCAGAAGGGAAGGCGTGCCAGAGATTAGCCGAGTTACTGGACCACACCCCACAGGGTATAAATGTGGGTGTGGTGGCCGGTTCAGTTTGTGACGAGCAAAAACTGGAAATAATCCATGATCTCTGCGTTACTGGACTTTGCCTGCTTTATCGGACTGCATTTGGATTAATCCTTGTATTGTTGACACTCTGCCTGTTTTATCGGAATGCTGGCAGTCTAATCTTTGTTTTGTGTGAGTAAAGTCTGAATTGGCAGCTAGTCACTGGGTTGCTGCCAGCTTTATCTTCAAAGAGTTTTGTCGTGTGGCTTATTAACTCCAGGCCGTCTGTGGGGGTGCGTGTGGGGTATGGGGGCAGAACAGACAGCTCCCTGCAGCCCTCAGTTCGTAGTTATTTTTCTTGTTGTTCCCGTTGCCTGAAATAAACGGTTATTTTACTTCACTACAATCGTCCTGCCTCTCTTTTCGTGCCAGACTTAACAGAAACGATCCAAAGAAAGTTCTGATTTTTTTTTTTTAAAAAAAGGCCCCTTTTTTGTCAAATATTGAAATTCCTCAACCAATAGAAATTTTGCCATGAAACCTATATATGAACTTTCTTGCCATGGTTGTTAAGTGAATCTGGCTTCCCCCCCCCAAGTTTGCTCATCGGAAGGTCGCAAAAGGGGATCAGGACACTGTGACCGTCATAAATATGAATCAGTTGCCAAGTGTCTGAATTTTGATCACGTGACCATGGGGATATGGCAAACGGTCGTTAAGTGTGAGAAACGGTCATAACTCTTTTTTTTTCCAGTGCTGTTCTAACTTCAAACGGTCACTAAATGAATTTTTTTCAATCAAGGACAGCCTGTATCAAACTATGGCCTTTTTGTATTCTTTTTCTTAATGTTCTCTTTCTTAATAATATATGTATTTCTACCACTGGGATTTTTTGCCTGTTTTGTTCTTTTTGTTAGGATTCCAAACCATCAATCAATCACAAAAAAAAAAAAACAACGTTTGGCCTGAAAAAAGCTTTGGAGCCCAATCCAATTTTTTTTCTTTCCTTTAAAAGCGATCATGTAATATTTTGCACATTTTAAATCTCCAAATATGTTGTTCTTGCCATATCACGATTTTGCTCTCCCAGAAAGGCTGCAAAAAGATTTCCAGCAGGGTCGTTTTGGCCCTGAACGGCTAAATTGAAACCAGAAACATTTTTACTTTTGAGGGCCAATTGCTTAAAGTTTATGCTTCATGACTCACCTTTTACTCCTGGATGCCTGTTCAAAATTTTGCAACACCACGCAAGTACCAAATGTGAAGAAATACCTGTAGGTCAAACAAAGAAAGACAGAGATCTGTTATTGCTGTTGGCCACTTAAGAAAGATGATGCCTGACTAGGTGGCTCAGTGGCTAAGACACTGAGCTTGTCAATCAGAAAGGTTGGCAGTTCAGTGGTTCGAATCCCTAGTACAAGTCCCTTGCGTGAGAAGAGGGTTGGACTAGATGACCTCCAAGGTCCTTGTTACTGTACTGTATTGTACTGTAAGACAGCTGGACTTCTACTCCCAGAATCCCCCATTCAGCATGCTTTAAGAGGGAGGGCTTCCACTCCCAGAATCCCCCAGCCAGCATGCTTTAAGAGGGTGAGGACTTCCACTCCCAGAATCCCCCATCCAGCATGCTTTAAGAGGTGAGGACTTCCACTCCCAGAATCCCCCAGCCAGCATGCTTTAAAAGGTGAGGACTTCCACTCCCAGAATCCCCCAGCCAGCATGCTTTAAGAGGTGAGGACTTCCACTCCCAGAATCCCCCAGCCAGCATGCTTTAAGAGGTGAGGACTTCCACTCCCAGAATCCCCCATCCAGCATGCTTTAAGAGGTGAGGACTTCCACTCCCAGAATCCCCCAGCCAGCATGCTTTAAGAGTGAGGACTTCCACTCCCAGAATCCCCCATCCAGCATGCTTTAAGAGGTGAGGACTTCCACTCCCAGAATCCCCATCCAGCATGCTTTAAGAGGTGAGGACTTCCACTCCCAGAATCCCCCAGCCAGCATGCTTTAAGAGGTGAGGACTTCCACTCCCAGAATCCCCCATCCAGCATGCTTTAAGAGGTGAGGACTTCCACTCCCAGAATCCCCCATCCAGCATGCTTTAAGAGGTGAGGACTTCCACTCCCAGAATCCCCCAGCCAGCATGCTTTAAGAAGTGAGGACTTCCACTCCCAGAATCCCCCATCCAGCATGCTTTAAGAGGTGAGGACTTCCACTCCCAGAATCCCCATCCAGCATGCTTTAAGAGGTGAGGACTTCCACTCCCAGAATCCCCCAGCCAGCATGCTTTAAGAGGTGAGGACTTCCACTCCCAGAATCCCCCAGCCAGCATGCTTTAAGAGGTGAGGACTTCCACTCCCAGAATCCCCCAGCCAGCATGCTTTAAGAGGTGAGGACTTCCACTCCCAGAATCCCCCAGCCAGCATGCTTTAAGAGGTGAGGACTTCCACTCCCAGAATCCCCCAGCCAGCATGCTTTAAGAAGTGAGGACTTCCACTCCCAGAATCCCCATCCAGCATGCTTTAAGAGGTGAGGACTTCCACTCCCACAACCCCCAGCCAGCATGCTTTAAGAGGTGAGGACTTCCACTCCCAGAATTGAAGGATGCTGGCTGGAGATTTCTGGAAGTTGAAATCCCCCACTCTTAAATTTCCCAAGGTTGAGAAACAGTTTTCCAGGTCAAGCAGACCCTGCAACTCTCAGATTCCATCATCCTGGCCAGGTAGGATGTGGCTGCTCGAAGCTCAGGAGATGAAGAAGCCGTCACTCAATGAACCGTTGTAAGTTGAGGACTGCCTGTATTTAGGAGAGAAGCTGGGAAACTCTGAGTTATTTGAGTCGGTCTAGAGAGGCTAAGGGGTTGCCGGGTCTATTCCTACTCCAAACTTTTTTGGGCCACAAAATGTAGACCATAAAAACCCCTTTCTTGGGACCTCCCAATCAAGAGGCAGAAGTCCAGCGATCGAAAATCGGCTCCGTTTGAGTGAATCTGTTCGCGTTTTTGCTTCTTCCCGATCACAATCGAGTTCTCAAACGTGATCTGTGGGGATTGCAGGTAATCCTCAATTTAAAACAGTTGGTTTAGTGACTGATCGAAGTTGTAACGGCCCTGAAGAAAGGGATTTATGTCTGTTTTTTCACACTTACAGCTGTTGCAGCATCCGCAGGGATCAAAATTCAGCCGCTTGGTAACAGACTCGTATTTATGACTGTCGCAGTATTTACTTTTACGACCTTCTGACAAGCAAAATCGTGGGGAAGCCAGATTCACTTAACAACCCTGTGACTCATTTAACAACTGCAGGGATTCACTTAACAACTGTAACAAGAAGGGTCGTAAAATGGGGCAAAATTTACTTAACTATCTTGCTTAGCAACAGAAATTTGGGGCTCAATTGTGGTTGTAAATCAAGGATTACCTGTATATATTATTGTATAAAAGTAAAAAGTTGAGGTTTCATCTTATTATCATATTCTACTGCACCAAATGATGCAGTAGAGTAAAATAATATTCTTATTTTAATTCTATAATTCAATTAGAATATTGTAAGATAATATTGTTATTCTATATTTTAATTCTATAATTTAATTAGAATATTATAAGCGAATATTGTTATTCTATATTTTAATTCTATAATTTAATTAGAATATTATAAGATAATATTGTTATTCTATATTTTAATTCAATAATTAGAATATGATGATAATATTGTTATTCTATATGTTAATTCTATAATTCAATTAGAATATTATAAGCGAATATTGTTACTCTATATTTTAATTCTATAACTCAATTAGAATATTATAAGATAATATTGTTATTCTATATTCTAATTTTATAATTGTTAGAACATTATAAGATATTATTCTATATTTTAATTCTATAATTCAACTAGAATATTATATGCAAATATTTTTATTGTATATTCTAATATTCTTATTCTATATTTTTTTCTCTTTTCCCTTCTACCCTACACTTCTCTCTCTTCCCCTATTTGAGTTTCAACTTCTTCTTATTTTTTGTGTTTTATGCTTGGATAAATGAATAAAAAAAACTTGGAACAGCAACCAAACATCCACCCCTCTCCTCCACAAGATGGGCTTTGTAGTACTCACTGGACATAAGCATTCAGGAACGAGTCCGCGTCGCAGACGAGATACACGTCAGGGACACAAACAGATTCGGAGGTGCTGTACGTCTCCTTTAGCGTCCTGTAGTTCTCCTCCGTCAGATGCCAGATCGCTTGGAAGTGGTCGTTTAACAGGAAAAAGAACTTTACATTCTCCAAAGACCCTTTTAAGACAAAAAAATCGAGACACCCTCGTAAAGTGAAACGATCCAGTTGGGAAAATCGTCCAGAAATAAAAAGAAATTTGGTGATCTCGTATACAGGTAGATCCTCGACTTACGACCACAATTGAGCCCAACATTTCTGTTGCTAAGCAAAACATTTGTTAAGTGACTTTTGACCCATTTTGCGATCTTGCTTGTCACAGTCATTAAATGAATCTCTGATGTTGTTAGGTCAGTAAGGCAGTTGTTAAGCGAACCTGGCTTCCTCCATTGACTTTGCTTGTCAGACGGTCGCATAAGGGAATCACGTGACCCCAGGACACTGCAACCGTCATAAATGCGAGTCAGTAGCCAAGCATCTGAATTTTGATCATGTGACCGCGGGGAGCCTGCAACGGTCGTTAAGTGTTGAAAAACAATTGTGAATTATTTTTGTCAGTGCTGTTGTCAGTTCAAACTGTCACTAAACGAATTCTTATAAGTCAAGGACTACCTGTAGCTAAGCTGGTGAATGCATCAGAGAGGATATTACCCTAATAATATATTGGCCTCAAAATTAAAGTTTTTTTTTTTCCTTTTTCCTGTGGGTTAGAAGTAGGCTAAATACTATATAAGAGAAATTTTGTGCTTAATTCAGATTAAAACTCTGGACGCAGGTACAGCTATTTTTCAAGTGACTATACAGGAAGTCCTCGACTTATGACCACAATTGAACCCAACTTAAAAAAAAAGGATCAATAGATGATCACCCTCCCAAATCTGTCTTTTTGTTTTCCCAAAATGTTTCCTAACCCCCACCCCCTTAAATTCCCTAATTCACCCCCTAAAGTCATCTACAACTAGCGGAGTACAGATAGTCCTTGAGTTACAACAATTCATTTAGTGGCTTATTCAAGTGGCTTATTATGACCGTTGCAGCGTCGTGATCAAAATTTAGACAATGACTCATATTTACGACAGTCGCTATGTCCTTGTGGGGGGGAGGGGTCACGTGATCCCCTTTTGCGACTTTCGGACAAGCCAAGTCAGTGGGGGAAGCCAGATTTGCTTAACAACTTAAGCGTGTGACCAACTTAACAACCGCAGGGATTCATTTAACAACGGTGGCAAGAAAGGTCGTAAAACGGGGCAAAACTCACTCAACAACTGTCTCGCTTAGCAACACAAATCATGGGCTCAACTGAGGTCATAATTAGAGGACTAGATTGTTATCTAGAATTTCCCCACGATAAATTCGAACCCGGCTGAACCTGAACCCAAGACAGGGTCCCCTCCTTCTCACCTATTTGCAGAAGGGGCTTCAGAACCACAGCGTTGATCCGCGCCAGATGCGCGGAAAACGTCTCCTCGACCCTGAGTAGTGAGGAGACCACCTCCGAGATCCTCATCTCCTGGGAAGATCCCGTTGGAAAAGGAGAGAAGGCAGAGACGCCGAGTTGGGCCAGAGTTTCAGAAGTTTCGGACGCTTCAAAAACAAACCAGGATGAAACTCGGCTTGATCCAAATCATGGTTCACACCGGAACGCCCTTAAAGATTCAGGAAAGAGAAAGGGAGGGGGATTGATATTTAAGATTGTGGTGGGATTAAGGATGAAGAGGTGTGGACTTTAGCTCCCAGAATTCCCCAGCCATCATGATTTAAAATGGGTGGACTTCAACTCCCAGAATTTTTTATTTATTTATTTATTTTATTTTTATTTTTTTTAAATTTTATTTATATGCCGCCCTTCTCCGGAGACTCAGGGCAGCTTACAATGGGTTAAGCAATAGCCTTCATCCTTTTGTATATTTATACAAAGTCAGCTTATTGCCCCCATAATCCGGGTCCTCATTTTACCTACCTTAGAAAGGATGGAAGGCTGAGTCAACCTTGAGCCTGGTGAGATTTGAACTTACAGTAATTGCAGGCAGCTGTGTTAATAATAGGGTGCGTAGACCACTGTACCATCAAGGCTCTTAAAGCATGCTTTAAGTTACATGTTCAGCTCCCAGAATTCCCCAGCCAGCATCCTGTAAGGGACATGGACTTCAACTCCCAGAATTCTCCAGCATGCTGTAAGGGAGGTGGACTTCAACTCCCAGAATTCCTCAGTATGCTGTAAGGGAGGTGGACTTCAACTCCCAGAATTCTCCAGCATGCTGTAAGGGAGGTGGACTTCAACTCCCAGAATTCCCCAGCCAGTATGGTTTAAAATAGGTGGAATTCAACTCCTAGAATTCCCCAGCATGCTGTAAGAGAGATAGGCTTTATCTCCCAGAATTCTCCAGCCAGGTTACTTTGAGATATGGACTTCAGCTCCCAGAATTCTCCACTCAGACTGCTTTAAGATAAATTGACTTCATTTTAAGATGGTGGGCTTTAACTCCCAGCAGAGCTGGCTGGGGAATTATGGGAGTTGAAGTCCAAACATCTTTAAGCTGCCAAGGTTGAAAAATATTGGGACAGGGCATAATAACCAGATCTAGAAAAACAATCCATGTTTATCCCTGTCCCTTCTTATGCTAAATAAAACCAAACCAGGTTTATTATGAATTTATTTCTACTGGCATCAAATTCCAGACTGTATAATCTCTTCTCCAATCCGAGATGAAGGAATTGGAAGGGAGGAGGGAGGAGAGAGAGGGATGGAAGAGTAGGGAGGAAGGAAGGGAAGGGAAAGTAGAGTAGGAGAGAAGGCAAGACAGGGAGGAAGAGAAGAGGAGAAGGAGAAGAGAAGGGGAAGAGAAGAGAAGAGAAGAGAAGAGAAGAGAAGAGAAGAGAAGAGAAGAGAAGAGAAGAGAAGAGAAGAGAAGAAGAAGGTGTGAAAAGAAAGTTGGAAGGGGAAGAGGGGGAGGCTAGATTTGAGGAGAAAGATTGCTGTACAATAAAAAAAAGGAGATGAAGTGGAAGAAAGGCAGCTCTGAACAAACAAATATAAATATATCAAGAAAAAGAATGAATTGTTTAAGAATAAATGAGGATAAATATGTATAAATAGTAAAGTTAGAATTTAGGGATAAATGAAGATGTTTACGTATGCAAGTATAGAAATACTGAAGTATATTCAAAAAAAGGAAAGGGGGGAAGACAATATTGACAAAAATTGTAATTGAGTAAAATGTATTTGAATTTGACTAATTATATAAAATAAGAAACGACCAACACTGTTAAAAAAAAAGAAAGAACGATATGGGTGAAGGTGGGAGAGGAGAAAATAAAAAAAACTCAATAAAATTTGTTTAAAAAAAAAATCTTCTCCAATCCCTTCTCAATGCTTCTATCATGCCAGGGGCATCTTTAAATTTCTTTACAGGTGGGGGAGACATAAACAAGTGAGTCAGTAAATTAAACGAGGATATTTTGATTATGGTCTGTGAGCCTCTGTTTTTAATACTGTATTATTATATTTGCTGTTGTTTTTCAGGTCTGTAGAATCACATCAACAAGAAAAGCAAATTATGAATAAAGTGGGTGAAAACATGACTGAATCCACTTCTCCCCCTTCCATAGGTAGCCAACCTGAAAAACTTGACTTATAACCAGTCCTCACACTTACGACCATCATAGGATTCCCATCACGTCACGTGATTAAAATTTGGGCACTTGACAACCAGCGTGTATTTATGACGGCTGCGACATCCTGGGGTCACGTGATCCCCTTTTGACAAGCAAAGTCAATGTGAGGAGCCGGATTCACTTAATGACCATATGATTCACTTAACAACAGCAGTGATTCGCTTAACAACCGTGGGAAAAAAGTCTGTAAAATCGGGTGTGATTCACTGAACAACTGCAGGAATTTGCTTAAGAACAGTGTCACCAAAGGTTGGGAAATCGGGTGTGACTCACTTAAGGACCTCCTTGCTTAGCAACGGAAATTTCATGGTCGTAAGTGGAGGACTACTTGTAGCAGGAAAAGGTGTTGAGCACACAAAGGCATCTCTGCAAATTGCGTAAGAATGACATTTGTTTTGCTTCTAGGTGTGTGTTTGTGGCCAAGGTGTGACACTGTCTCTTCGTTAACAACACAATCTCTTGTGTACAGTTTCGGTTTGGGCATTGCAAATGGGCTGGCACATTTTGGAAGTTTGCAAATGTTTATTTTTTTTCCTCTTTTTTTTCCCAACAGCTTTTGAAACTGCAATGGATTCACTGACCCACAAACGGCGAACAAACACATTTCTATTTTCTGGCCTCCTTGTAAAAACGTAGCAACCACAACCTTAAAAATCTACAAATGGGATGAATGCACCTTAAAACAAGGTGTGGAAAATCGTGAATCCTGCCTGTTTGCACCGTTGTTAAGCCAATCACTGCCGTTGTTAAATTAGTCACACGGTTGTTAAGTGAATCTGACTTCTCCATTGGCTTTGTTCGTCAGAAGGTTGCAAAAGGAGATTATGTGACTCCGGGACATTTCGAACGTCATAAATATGAACCAGTTGCCAAGCGTCTGAATTTGGATCCCATGACCACGCGGATACTGCAACCGTCATAAGTGTGAAAAACGGTTGTTAAGTGCAAGGACGGGTTATAAGTCACTTTTTTTCCCAAGCATCTGAATTTGGATCCCATGACCACGGGGATGCTGCAATGGTCGTAAGTGTGAAAAACGGTTGTAAGTGCAAGGACCGACTGTCAGTCAGTTTTTTCGTGCCGTTCTTACTTCAGTCAGTAAATGAACTGTTGTAAGTTGAAGATTATCTATAGGCCAGCAGAGCTGGAGGCTTTCAAAGGTTGGGTGGGGCACGGGGTCTTATGCAACCTGTTAATTATGCAAGGCCTTTTTTTAAAGTTTCTAGACCTCACCCTTCCTGTGCCCTGATATGATGCCAACTCCCCTCTTCCCTTAATGATTAATTGCTCAGGCATGTATTTACAAAGCCTTGAGTGCCTTAGGGATCTTTTACACAGCTTATCCACCTTGGTGTAAATCAAGTAGCTCAGCCAGCTGTTGCCCGTATTTTGGGGAGCTGCAGGAAAGACTTGGGTGCGATTTCTGACTCAATTCTCCCTTCCCAGCAATTGGCAGGGAAAAAGACCCCCGTCTATATACGGAATGGTATAGATTAGAATAACTTTCCTTTATTGTCACTTTTGAATGCATGCTAATACGGCATACAGTAAAATGAAATTTCATACATTAAAATGGAATTTTGGGATCTTGAGTAGGGGGGTTGGAATAGATGACCTCTGAGGTCCCCTCCACCCCTATGATTCTATGTTCTCTCCCTGGCAAGAGTTGGGTCATTGCAGGCACGTTTAGCCACAGAGTAACAGCTTAACAGGTTACAGGCATACAAGCAGTCCTTGAACTTACAGCCATTCGTTTAGTGACCGTCCGAAGTTCCAACGGCGCTGAAAAAACGTGACCTGTGATTGCTTTTCGAACTTACAACCGTTGCAGAATCCTCGTGGCCACGTGATCAAAATTCAGAGGCTTGGCAACGGACTTGTACTTATGACGGTTGCAGAGTCCCTGGGACGTCACATGATCCTCCTTTTGTGACCTCCTAACGAGCAACGTCAATGGGGGAAAGCAGATTCATTTAACAACCGTGTGACTAACATAACAACCGCAGGGATACACTGTTCGTTTAACAACCGTTCCAAGTTAACAACGCCACTGAAAAAAAGGGACTTAGCAGTCATTTGTCAAAGCTTCCCCACCATCACATGATCACTATTTGGGTGCCTGGAGGTGGCATGTGCTAACAATGATTGCAAAAATCACCTCTTTGCAGCCATCATAGGTACCTTTCCATTCGCTTAAGGATAGCATGATTCGCTTAACAACTGCAGGATTCGCTTAGCAACCGTGGCAAAAATAAGGGGCAAAGTCGGTAGCAACTCAGTTCACACCTTGCTTAGCAATGGATATTCAGGTCCCAAGGATGGCCGTAAGTGGAGGACTGTGTGTGTAAAGTGAGGCTGTTTCACTTCAGTCAAACTTTCACTGAAGTGAAAGTGAAAGGAAGAGGAGAAGGAACAGGAGGAGGAGGAAGAAGAAGAGAAGGAGGAAGAGACGATACAGAAAGAGAAGATACAGAAGGAGGAGGAGGGAGGAAGAGAAGGGGACAGACAAGGCAGAGGAGTAGAAGATGAAGGGGAGGAAGAGAAAGAGGAGGAGGAAGACAAGATGAAAATATGTAAGGAGGAGAAGATAAAGGAGGAGGAGGAGGAAGAAAAGCAGGAGGAAGAGAAGGATACAGAAGGAGAAGATACAGAAAGAGGAGGAGGAAGAGAAGGAGGCAGACAAGGCAGAGGAGAAGAAGATGAAGGGGAGGAAAGAGAAAAAGGAAGATGAGATGAAAATATGTAAGGAGAAGGAGAAGATAAAGGAGGAGGGGGAGGAGGAAGAAAAGAGGAGGAGGAAGAGGAGGAGGAAGAGAAGATACAGAAGGAGAAAATACAGAAAGAGGAGGAGGAAAAGAAGGAGACAGACAAGGCAGAGGAGAAGAAGATGAAGGGGAGGAAGAGGAGGAGGAAGACAAGATGAAAATATGTAAGGAGAAGGAGAAGATAAAGGAGGAGAGGAGGAGAAAGAAAAGGAGGAAAGGAAGAGAAGGAGAAGAGAAGATACAGAAGAGAAGATACAGAAAGAGGAGGAGGAAGAGAAGGAGGCAGACAAGGCAGAGGAGAAGAAGATGAAGGGGAGGAATAGAAAAAGGAGGAGAAGACAAGATGAAAATATGTAAGGAGAAGGAGAAGATAAAGGAGGAGGAGGAGGGAAGAAGAGGAAGAGGAGGAGGAAGAGAAGGAGGAAAAGAAGATACAGAAGGAGAAGATACAGAAATAGGAAGAGGAAAAGAAAGAGGCAGACAAGGCAGAGGAGAAGAAGATGAAGGGGAGGAAGAGAAAAAGGAGGAGGAAGACAAGATGAAAATATGTAAGGAGAAGGAGAAGATAAAGGAGGAGGAGGAGGAGGAGGAAGAAAAGGAGGAGGAGGAAGAGGAGGAGGAAGAGAAGATACAGAAGGAGAAGATACAGAAAGAGGATGAGGAAAAGAAGGAGGCAGACAAGGCAGAGGAGAAGAAGATGAGAGGAAGAGGAGGAGGAAGACAAGAAGATGAAAATATACAAGGAGAAGGAGAAGATAAACGAGGAGGAAAAGGAGGAGGAATGTGGAGAGAAGGAGAAGGGAGACAGACAAAGGGGGGAAGGAAAAGAAAAGAGAGAAGGAGAAGGTTAGAAATGGAAGAGAAATATAAGGGGGAGATTAGAAAGGAATCCCACCCTCCAAGAATCCGCTCAGAAGACTCACCTGACATGAAGACCTTCCTGGTTTGCTCCGGCTGACATTGTCTCCGTCCGGTTGACCCATTGGGGAAGGGAGCATGTAGGGCTGAGCCCTCCCCCCACCTCCACACACCCAGTTCCTCTTTCCTCCCAGGACGGATCCAGACACGCCTCATTCTTGGCCCAGGAGAAACTCTGCCAGCAGCAGTTTTAGAAGCTGCTTCTCCACTCCATGATCCCCTCTAGACCCCCAGAGAGGCCCTCCTCAAAAGCCCAGCCTCGTGGCCAGAGGGGTCTCCAAACCTGGCCACTTTTAAGACTTGTGGACTTCAACTCCCAGAAATCTCCAGCCAGCTGGCTGGGGGATTCTGGGAGTTGGAGTCTGCCCCTCTTAAAGCATGCTGGATAGGGGATTCTGGGACTGGAAGTCTTCTCTGAAAACATGCCGGCTGGGGGATTCTGGGAGTTGGAGTCCACCCCTCTTAAAGCATGCCGGCTGGGGGATTCTGGGAGTTGGAGTCCACCCCTCTTAAAGCATGCTGAATTGGGGATTCTGGGAGTGGAAGTCCACCTCTCTTAAAGCATGCCGGCTGGGGGATTCTGGGAGTTGGAGTCCACCCCTCTTAAAGCATGCTGAATTGGGGATTCTGGGAGTGGAAGTCCTCCTCTCTGAAAGCATGCCGGCTGGGGGATTCTGGGAGTTGGAGTCCACCCCTCTTAAAGCATGCCGGCTGGGGGATTCTGGGAGTGGAAGTCTTCTCTGAAAGCATGCCGGCTGGGGGATTCTGGGAGTTGGAGTCCACCCCTCTTAAAGCATGCCGGCTGGGGGATTCTGGGAGTGGAAGTCCAGCCCTCTTAAAGCATGCTGGATAGGGGATTCTGGGAGTGGAAGTCTTCTCTGAAAGCATGCCAGCTGGGGGATTCTGGGAGTTGGAGTCCAACCCTCTTAAAGCATGCCAGCTGGGGGATTCTGGGAGTTGGAGTCTGCCCCTCTTAAAGCATGCTGGCTGGGGGATTCTGGGAGTGGAAGTCTTCTCTGAAAGCATGCTGGCTGGGGGATTCTGGGAGTTGGAGTCCGCCCCTCTTAAAGCATGCTGGCTGGGAGAATTACTCAACTACTCAAAATTTCCACTACCGATTCTCCAGAACCTGTCAGAACCTGCTGGATTTCACCCCTGGTTTGGGCCCTTGATTCGAATCTAGCCAATTGCATTTTTTTTTTCAGCCATTGCAAACTGCCCTTCATATTTGCATGAAGAGAAATTTTAGGGTCGTTTGAGTAATAAAGGAAAATGATCAAAACTTAATCGTGTTGCGACACCCGTTTCCCAGCTGGTGGAAACGCCGATCCAAGGTTGGGGACAAGCCACACAATGTCCCAGGCAGGCAACATGAAGCCATTATGCAAATTATGTGGATAATGTCATTTGCATCTGTGATTACTTCATCTGCATGGAGAGGGTGCATGTAACTACAGGGGTATCATGGAGTGGGATGGGGGTTAAAGGTTGCAAAATGGGAGGTGGGGTGTTATCACCCAAGCTCTAACATTTTGATATGTGGGGCAGGTTGATGCCCCCACCAAATGGGGAAGGGTCCCAGACTGGCACCCAAAGCTGGACTGAAGGAACATAAATATTGTAACCTAATAGAAGGGAAAAAGAAAGAGAAAGAAAGAAGGAGGGAGGGAGGGAGGCAGAGAGACAGAGAAAGAGAGAGCGAAAAAAAGAGGGAGAAAAATAGAAAAAAGAAAATAAAAAAGAAGAAAGAAAGAAAAGAATGGATAGAAAGAAAAAGAGAGAAAAAGAAAGCAAGGAAGAGAAGCACAGAGGGAAAGTGAGAGAGAGAGAGGGAAAGCAAAAAAGAAATGAGAGAAATAATTAGAGGAAAAAAGAAACAAACAGAAAAAGAAAAAAGAGAATAATAAAATAGAGAAAAAGAGAGGGAAAAAGGGAGAGGAGAGAGAAAGAAATGAAAAGAGAAAGAAAGAAAGAAAAAGAAGAGAGAAAAGTAAAGAACGAAGTAGAAAGAGGGCAAGAGAGAAAGAGAAAAAGAGAAGAAAGGAAGACAGAAAAAGAAAGAAAGAAAAATAAATAAGAGACAAAGAAGGAAAGAGAGGGAAGAGAGAGAAAGAATAAAGAAAGGTAAAGAGGAAAAAAGAATGAAAGAGAGAAAAACTGAAAGAAAGAGAAAGGAAAGGAAGGAAGGAAGGTAGAGAGAGAAAGAAGGAAGGAAGGAAAAGGGGAAGGGAAGGAAAGGAAAGGAAAGGAAAGGAAAGAAAAAAGAAAAGAAAAGAAAAGAGAACGGAAGGAAAGGAAAGAAAGAGGGAGGGAGGAAGATGAAGGGAGGGGAGGGAAGAGAAGGAAAGGAAAAAGAAGGAAAGGAAAGGAAAGGAAAAAGAAGGAAAGGAAAGGAAGATGGAGGGAGGAAGATGAAGGGAGGGAAAGAGAAGGAAAGGAAAGGAAAAAGAAGGGAAGGAGAGGAAAGGAAAGGAAAGGAAAAAGAAGGAAAGGAAGATGGAGGGAGGAAGATGAAGGGAGGGGAAGAGAAGGAAAAGGAAAAAGAAGGGAAGGAGAGGAAAGGAAAGGAAAGGAAGATGGAGGGAGGAAGATGAAGGGAGGGGAAGAGAAGGAAAGGAAAGGAAAAAGAAGGGAAGGAGAGGAAAGGAAAGGAAAGGAAAGGAAGATGAAGGGAGGGAGGAAGGTGCTTTTTCCAAGCATATATTGACCATTTTGTATTTGCTTAGTCCCCTGAATTCCAGCGGTGTCCAGGTGTGTCCAAAAAGTCAGTACAGTGGCATGGCTACATCAATCATCTTGACATTCTGCCCTGTCTGTTGATAAACCAACTTAGTTTGTGGGATCCTTGGTGTCCCTCTGAGCTTGGTGGTTTCCTAGCAGACATTTCATGTCCTAATTGGGGAATATCATCAGCAAACCCCACTAATTTTTTATGTTGATGCTGCTTCCTAGTTGGGTGACAAAATATCTGCAAGAAAGCCATGAAATCCTCCTTCCTTCTAGCACTGATGATGTTACCTAGTTGGGTCATGAAAACGTCTGCAAGAAAACCACCAAGCTCAGAGGACCCCACAGTTCAACTCTGAGCTACAAATATTATCTTTTATCATTAGCTACTTTACTTATCGTCTTAGTGTCTCCCCTTCCTCGTGCAAAGTGCAAATCCCTGCTTTTCATTTCGTCTTAAGGCATATCCTTTCCCAAATCTCTTCATATTGCCACATTTCCCCCCCCCCCAGGCTGGAAAATTAGATGACACGGGTCAAAGAAACCAACACCGTCCAGCGTGGCTCAACCACCGATCCCAGCACCAAGGCGGCCTCAAGAGAACCTCTGAAGAAATTTTCCATTGAGAATGAGGCAGAAAAACGGAAGCCTCTGGGGGCTCCTCAATGAGGAATGTCACATTCTCGGTGCAGAATTTTCACGGGCAATTTTGCAAAATGGTAACCGTGGAGGTTTACAGAAGGGGGAAATTGTGGGGACTGGGAAAACCTACAAGCCAAACCCCCCTCCTAGGATTAACTGCCCTTGTTGAGGGGCATCATATGTTACGTAGTTAAGTAGGTCTTTTTCAGCTGTTTTCGGTAGTCGTGGAAAACAAAGAGAGAGGAAAAGGATGGCTGATTTTCCCATGCAGCAAAAAAACACCTATCCACTTAGAGGGAGGTTAAGGTGTTGCAATGGTTTATCAGACAAGCTATTTTCTCACTGGTTGCAAACACGTCTTCCGTCTCTCCAACGCCCTTCTCCTTCCTTCCTTCCTTCCTTCCTTCCTTCCTTTTCTTCCTTCTTACCTCCATTGTCTTCCCTCTCCTCCCTCCCCTTCCTTCCTTCATCCCACCTTTCCTTTCTTTCCTTCTTCGTTTACTTTCTGCCTTCCTCTTTTCTTCTTCCTCCCTTCCTCCCACTCCTGCCCTTCCTTCATCCTTCCTTTCCTTTTTCTCTTTCCTTCTGCCCTTCCTTTTTGTCTTCCTCTTTTCTTCTTCCCATCCCTCCCTTTTTCCCTCTCCTCCCTCCCTCCTTTCCTTTCTTCTCCTCCTTTCCTCCCTTCCTCCTCCTCCCTTCCTCTTTTCTTTCTTCTTTTCCCTCCTCTCCCTTCCTCCCTTCTCTTTCCTCTTCCCACCCTCCCCTCCTTCTTTCTCTCTTCCTCATTTTATTTCCTTTCTCTTTGTATATTTTTCCTGGCTCTCCTTCCACGCTTCTTTCCTTCCTTCCTTCCTTCTTTTCTCTTCCTTCCTTCTTTTCCTTCGTTCTTTCCTCCCTCCCTTCTCCCACAGCAAAGCAAACCCCACCTGGGCTGAAGCAGGCATCTGTGGCCGTCCCTTCCAGCTCTTCTCTCTCGCCCTTCCTGGTCACAACCCACAGTGCACATTTCTTCCTCCCAACTCACGTGCTCCCTGAGCTCATGTGCTGCAGGAACTGGCAGCTCAGCCAATCTCCAGTTTCTAAGGTTGACCCACCTCCCAAAGAAAAGGAAAAAAGGGGGAAAAAAAGGGTGTGTATGGGGGGAATCCCACAATGCACTGCAGTCACATTCCTTCTGGCCCTCCTCGAAATTCTTTGGGGAGCAGCCAAGACTTCTGACACTTGGCAAGGAGGGCACAATTATTCAAAGTGAGCCATTTTTCAGATCTGTGGACTTCAGCTCCCAGAATTCCCCAGCTGGCTGTGCAGATGAGGAGGGGTTGAACCGGTCCCTGCCCAAATAAATTTCATAAATAAATAAAAATAAGTAAATTGTGAAATCGGGTTATATTATGCTTTAAGAGGGGACCACTCCAACTCACAGAGTCCCCCATCCAGCATGCTTTAAGACAGGTGGGCTTCAACTCCCAGAATTCCTTAGGCAGCCATGCTGGATGGGGGATTCTGGGAGTGGAAGTCCTCCCCTCTTAAAGCATGATGGATGGGGAATTCTGGGAATGGAAGTCCTCCCCTCTTAAAGCATGCTGGGTGGGGGATTCTGGGAATGGAAGTCCTCCCCTCTTAAAACATCCTGGCTGGGGAATTCTGGGAGTGGAAGTCCTCCCCTCTTAAAGCATGCTGGGTGGAGGATTCTGGGAATGGAAGTCCTCCCCTCTTAAAGCATGAAGGCTGGGGGATTCTGGGAGTGGAAGTCCTCCCCTTTTAAAGCATGATGGATGGGGAATTCTGGGAATGGAAGTCCTCCCCTCTTAAAGCATGCTGGGTGGGGAATTCTGGGAGTGGAAGTGCACTTCTAAAAGTTTCTAAACACTGCTGTGTAAGTGCCAACGTTGAACTGGTCTCTGCCCAGATCTGCTAAATATAGACAAGAAAGAGGAAACAGGAAAAGATGGAAATTAAATCACCACGATTCCATCAAAAGATGAACAGAAAAACAAGCAGAGGTGGCGCACTCTCTACTCTGCATTCTGCAAAAACAATGCTGAATTAACATGTGAGCCCAGGATACTGCCGAGTGTCATAAACAGGAGTTAGTTGCCAAACGTCTGAATTCTGATCACATGGGGAGGTTGCAACGGTCGTTAAGTGTGAAAAACGGTCGTAAATCCCTTTATTCAATGATGTTTTAACTTTGAACAGGCATTTGACAAATGGTTGTAAATCAAGGACTAGGATTCACTTCCAGCTTTTCTTCATAAAAGAATAAAAGTAGAATAAAAATAATAAAGGCTCAATTCGCATTTTTCTAAATCGAACTGGGGACCTGAGAAATGAGGTGGTACTGCAGCAGCATACAAGTAGTCCTTGTTTAGTGAACAGCCATTCGTTTAGTGACCGTTCAGAGTTAGAGCACTTTCCACACCTTCCAGCATCCCCATGGTCACTCTTTCCTCCTTCCTTCCTCTTTCCTTCCTCTTTCTCTCCCCCCTCTCTTCTTCCCTTCTTCATTACTCCCTCCCTTTTCTCCTTCCTTCCTTCTTCTTCTTCTTCTTTATCCTCTTTTCTTCCTTCCTCTCTTCTTCCTTAATTACTCCCTCCTTCCTTTCTCCCTCCCTCTCTTTTTTCCTCTTTCCTTCTCTCTTTCCTTCCTCCTCACTCTTTTCCTCTTCTTCCTTTATCTCTTTCCTCCTTACTCCCTTTCTCTCCTCCCTCCCTTCTTCCACTCTTTTATTACTCACTCCCTATTTTCCTGCTCTCTTCCTTCTCCCCCTCTGCTTTCCTCCCTCCCTCCCTCCCTCTCTCCTCCCTCTCTTCTTCCCTTCTTCCTCCCCCTCTTTCTCCTTCCTTTCCCCCTCCCTCCTTTCTTCTCTTCTTCTATTACTCCCTGCCTCCCTATTTTCCTGCTCTCTTCCTCCCTCCCTTCTTCCCTTCTTCTATTACTCCCTGCCTCCCTATTTTCCTGCTCTCTTCCTTCTCCCCCCTCTTCTTCTTTCCTTCATCCCTCCCTCCCTTCCTCTTTCTCTCCTCCCTCTCTTCTTCCCTTCTTCCTCCCCTCTTCCTCCTTCCATTCTCCCTCCCTCCCTTCTTCCACTCTTCTATTACTCCCTGCCTCCCTATTTTCTGCCTCCTCTTCCTTCTCCCCCTCTTCTTCTTTCCTTCATCCCTCCCTCCCTCCCTCCCTCTTTCTCTCCTCCCTCTCTTCTTCCCTTCTTCATTACTCCCTCCCTCTCTTTCTCCTTCCTTCCTTCCTCCCTCCCTCCCTCATTTCCTCCCTTCCTGCTTCCCTTTCCTTTGAGAAGCAACCCAGCCAGATGAATGGCCCCAATCCCCCTTCCCCAGGTGACTGCCTGCACCACAAAACTGGAAACCTGCAGCTACAGTGCAGGGGCTGCCAAGCACATCCAGATGCTGCCCTCCCTTTGAAAAAAAACAAAACAGGCCTGTACTAACCGAATCACCTCCTCCCCAGGGATAATGCCCTACCCTGAGCAAGAACCGTAAAAAAAACAAAAAAAAAAACAAGATATTTGCAGCCTCCTGGCTTCCTCATTCAGCTGAGCAAGGCTGCCTGTAAGCTAACCTGGGCTAATGAATTAATTAATGGCCCTGCCTGGACAGTGACAGGGAAGGGACAAAAGGGGGAGGGGGGGAGCCATCTCTCCTCCAGCCGAAGCAGCCTCCCGGTTTGCACCGGCGAAGGGAGATGGCCTGGGATCCGAATACTCGAAGCCCCCTCTGTCCGTTTGGGGGCTCAACCTCCATCCTGCTCTGCTCTGCTAGCACTGCCTGGATCTCTTCCTTCTCCCCCTCTTCTTCTTTCCTTCATCCCTCCCTCCCTCCCTCCCTCTTTCTCTCCTCCCTCTCTTCTTCCCTTCTTCATTACTCCCTCCCTCTCTTTCTCCTTCCTTCCTTCCTCCCTCCCTCCCTCATTTCCTCCCTTCCTGCTTCCCTTTCCTTTGAGAAGCAACCCAGCCAGATGAATGGCCCCAATCCCCCTTCCCCAGGTGACTGCCTGCACCACAAAACTGGAAACCTGCAGCTACAGTGCAGGGGCTGCCAAGCACATCCAGATGCTGCCCTCCCTTTGAAAAAAAACAAAACAGGCCTGTACTAACCGAATCACCTCCTCCCCAGGGATAATGCCCTACCCTGAGCAAGAACCGTAAAAAAAACAAAAAAAAAAACAAGATATTTGCAGCCTCCTGGCTTCCTCATTCAGCTGAGCAAGGCTGCCTGTAAGCTAACCTGGGCTAATGAATTAATTAATGGCCCTGCCTGGACAGTGACAGGGAAGGGACAAAAGGGGGAGGGGGGGAGCCATCTCTCCTCCAGCCGAAGCAGCCTCCCGGTTTGCACCGGCGAAGGGAGATGGCCTGGGATCCGAATACTCGAAGCCCCCTCTGTCCGTTTGGGGGCTCAACCTCCATCCTGCTCTGCTCTGCTAGCACTGCCTGGAGCCAGCTAATTCAGGTGAGGAAGGGGATGGGAGAAAGCTTTGGAGGGGAGAGGGGCAGAAGGGATTGGGGTGGGTGCCTGGGAGGGAGGTGGGTGGGTGGGTGGAGAGACCCCATCCAGGACCAGCAAAGGATGAGGGGTGGATGCAGGGAATCCAAAAATAGAAGAGAATATTCGTAGCTCGGGAATGAACTGTACTGCAGGGTCCTTGGTGCTCTCTGAGATGTTGGGGGTTTTCTTGCAGGCATTTCGTGACCCAGCTAGGGAACATCATCAGTGCTAGAAGGGAGTGGGATTTGCACCCTGCTTATATATAATAGCTTGCCCTGCCAGTGTGGGCCACGGTGTGGTTTTCTCCTCGGTAGTACTTTGATTTGGGTATTGCTTTCTGCTTGACTTTTGTCTGGTGTTAATCCCTGCTTGGCTGCTGGACAGGATGTCTGATTGTTTCCTCCTTACTTTTTTTATGGTGTCTTTTGAACGGTGTGTAAACGTGGTTGATCTCTATGTGTCTGTTGATGGCTGTTCAACGCTGAAACAACCAGGCTCAGAGAACACTAAGAACCCCCCCAGCCACACACACCCTCCTTCTCCTCCTCCTCCTCCTCCTCCTCTCCGCAAACCCAATCCCTTCTAGCACTGATGATGTTCCTTAGTTGGGTCATGAAACGTCTGCAAGAAAATCACCCAGCTCAGAGAGCACCCAGGCTCCCCTAAATCCAAGAATATTCTTGTGCCAAATTCTTTGGGGTCCTAACAGGAAAGAAGCTCAGGGCAGAATTGTCAAATCTAGATTGCAGATATCTGGATGACCACCAGATGCCGACAGAAAATTGGGGGGAGGGAGAGATTTTTTTCCCACCACCTAATGGCCATCACATTTTGACAACCTAGATCTGATGGTCCAAGAGGCGAATGCTGCCACTGTTGTTTTTAATGTTTTCATCGGTTGAGTCTTAGTGGTTTAATCTGATTATCTTTTATTTTTTGATTGGGTGACACCCACATTTGACTGAAAGATGAGGCAAGTTATATAAATATTTTAAATAAATAAAATGAGACAAACCAGCCTGCAGGTTAAGACTCCCCAAATACAGGTAGCCCTTGATTTACAATAATTCATTTAGGGACCATTCAAAATTACAACAGTAGTGAAAAAAGGAACTTATGACCGTTTTTCACACTTACGACCATTGCAACATCCCCATGGTCTTGTAATCCAAATTCAGGTGCTTGGCAACTGACTCATACTTACGACAGTTGCAGTGTCCATGATCTCCTTTTGCGACCTTCTGACAAGCAAAGTCAACAGGGAAGCCAGATTCGCTTAACAACTGTGTGACTCACTTAACAACTGCAGGGATTTGCTTAGCAACTGTGGCAAGAAAGGTCACCAAATGGGGCAAAATTCATTTAACAACTGTCTCACTTAGCAATGGAAGTTTTGCACTCAATTGTGCTCGTAAATCGAGGACTAACTGTATTTAATTTTGCACTGCAAAAATCCAAATTTTTCCATCAGTTTGAAATCCAGATTGGCTCTGACAGTGATCTGTCATAAAAGAAATTTACAGGAATCCTGGTTGGGGTTTTTATTTGAGCTAAGTTTAGGTCAGGAATTTTGCAAACAAAAGGGGAAATTCCTAAGAACCAACGAAAGGTATTTAGTTGAGTATCAGAAAGGAATACCTCCAAGAAAACTTTAAAAGAGAGAGAGAGATTTTCAGGAAATTCTGGATAGTTTTGACTTTCAGCATTGTGGCTTTGGCGCTTGAATATTGATTTAATTTAAGGTTTGCAAAGGCCCCACGAACTCAAAGGAATTATTTTTATCCCTCTGTTGTTCCATCAGCATTTTTTATTCCAGATCAAAAATGCAGAGAAAAGGCACACCGATTCTATTTATTCTTCTCTGTCTGAAAATGTTTCAGAATCTGTGACCTTATATTTTAATAAGGCTTTCGGAGTCAACCAAAAACAAAATAGAAACAGAAAAAAAGTTCTAGGAGAAGACAAGATCAGAAAAGGAGCAAAATGAGGAGAGCAGAAAAGAAAAACGAACGAAGAAAAAATTAGAAAAAGGAAAATTTCTGACTTTTTTTCTGTGCAGATACCATGCAAATATAAAGTACATTAAACCTTTTGCTCTAAAACTGCTCTTAAATCTACAGTGGCACAGTGGTAAGAGTGCAGTCCTGTAGGCTACTTCTGCTGACTGCTGGCTGCCTGCAATCTGGCAGTTCGAATCTCACCAGGCTCAAGGTTGACTCAGCCTTCCATCCTCCCGAGGTGGATAAACTGAGGACCCAGATTGTTGGGAGCAATAGGCTGACTCTGTAAAGCGCTTAGAGAGGGTGTAAAAGCACTATGAAGCGGTATATAAGTGCTATTGCTAGTGCAAAAATAAATTAGTAAAGTACATTAAACTTCTTGCTCTAAAATTAGAGGAATATCCTGTAATACATAAATCCTGAATGGTTCTGATCATCTAATTCCACAATTAAAGTTTTGTTTCTTCCAAGCAAAAAGTAGAAATTCTAGTCCCTAAGTCACAGTTCTTATCCTAAAACAGAGATTAATTCCACTGAAAACAGGCTTATTTTGGAGAAATTATATATAATGGGCTGCACAGCAAGGAAGTCAGGTTTTCCTGGGAGGAAGGGAATTTTACTGAATTTTACTGCTAAACAAACAAATCTAAGTTCTAGCTAGATTGATTGGAGTAGACAGTTAAGTTGTAATTCAGGTAGCCCTCAATTTATGATTCTTGATCTAAACCATGTTTAGAGACCAGAATTTGCATTGCTAAACAAGATGAGTCACACCCAATTTTTTATGCCACGGTTGTTAAGTGAATTGCAGAAGTTAACCAAATCACGCCATTGTTAAGCAAATCCAGCTTTGATTTTGCTTGCAGGAAGCCAGCTTGACTTGATCAGTCCTCATACTTACGACGGTCACTGCATAACCCCGCTCACATGATCAAAAGTAACCGGAATATATTTACAATCATTGCAGCATCCTGGGGTCCTGGGATCACTGTTTGCGACCTTCTCAGCTGGCTCCCAACAAGCAGAATCAACGTGGGAAGCCGGACTCATTTAATGACCGCGTGATTCACTTAACAACTGCAGGGATTCGCTGATCAACCATTGGCCAAAAAAAGTCAGAAAAAAATCAGGCGTAACTCATTGGAAACAACCCCCTGGCTTATGGCAAGGGACATTCTAGTGTGGCAGGTGGGATTCAGCCAGTTCACACCACTTCGGGAGAACCGGTTGTTAACTTTCTGAGCAGTTTGGCAAACTGGTTGTTGGAAGAAATCATTAGGGCAGAGAACCGGTTGTTAAATTACTTGAATCCCACCCCTGGGCAAGTTGTGTCGTTAAGTGGCTCAATTGCGGTCGTAAGGCGAGGACTACCCGTACTTGAGATAAATTCAGCAATTTTGCACATTGAGCATGGTAGGAGGAGGTCTGTGTGTGTGTGTGTGTGTGTGTGTGCGTGTGAGAGAGAGAGAGAGAGAGAGACATCACAATTTAGCATTCTAGTCCAGTGATGGCTAACCTTTTTGCCGTCGCGTGCCAAAAGCGGGGGGAGCGGGGGGGGGTCGCGGGTGCAGGTGCCCACATCCATAATTCAATGCGCCCCGCCCTCCCGCGCATGTGCACATGACCCCCCCCATACTTCCCCCTGCTTTTGGCACGCGATGGCCCAGTGGGCCCAGTTTTTTCCCCTCCCCAGGCTCCAGAGTCTTTCTAGGAGCCTGGGGAGGGCAAAAACAGCCTTCCCCATCCCCCCGGAGGCCTTCCGGAGGCCAGAAACAGCCAGTTTCCTGACTTCCGGTGGGACCGGAAGGCCTGAAAATCAATTGGCTGGTGCACACATCCACGCTGGAGCTGAGTTAGGGCAACACTCGCGTGCCCACCAATATGGCTCCGCGTGCCATGTGTGGCACCCGTGCCATAGGTTCGCCATCCCGGTTCTAGTCCTTTTTTTTTAAAGTGGCGATACGTTTACGCAACGCCACACCTCAACAAGAGCCAGCCGGTGTTCCGAAATTGGAGACGGACGGGCGAGGAACACAATGCCCTGGAAATAAATCATGAAAAGAGCCTTCCAGGAAGACAGAAAGCTTTGTGTATGTGTGCAGGAGTGCGTCAAAGGGATTGTGTGTTCACTGCCCCCTACGAATTTTGCACACAATTCAGTGTGATTATTCTAACCCCCCACCAACCCCCCCACCAGTCCCTTTTGTGATGAAAGGCATTAGGAGAAAGGAAATGATATAAAGATAAAAACAACATAAATTAAACACAGGAGGTCCTCCACTTACGATGCTTCACTTAGTGACCGTTCAAAGTTACAACGGCGCTGAAAAATGTGATGGATGATCGTTTTTCCACACATACGACCATTTGCAGCCTCCCCGTGGTCACAAGATCAAGATTCAGACGCTTGGCAACTGATTCGTATTTATGACGGTTGCAGCTTCCTGGGGGGGTCATGTGATCTCCTTTTGTGACAAGCGAAGTCGATAGGGAAGCCAGATTCGCTTAACAGCCGTGTGACCAATTTAACAACAGCAAGGATTCACTTAACAACTGTGGCTAAAAAGATCATAAAAGTGGGGCAAAAGCTAACTTAACAAATGCCTCACTTAGTAACAGAAATTTTGGCCTCCATTGTGCTTGTAAATTGAGGACTACTGCCTAACTGAGGACATCCTGGTCAACTACAACACCCAGCAGCCCCAGATAAGGAAAGCTCAAGATAGAGGATGCTGGATGTTGTAGTTAAGCAACATTTGATACATGTGGGTTTCTCTATGTCCCTTAAATCTGTGTTTTTTTAAGCTTGACAATTTTAAATGGTTTAAACTTCAACTCCCAGAATCCCCCAGCCGGCATGCTTTAAGAGGGGAGGACTTCAACTCCCATAATCCCCCAGCCGGCATGCTTTAAGAGGGATGGACTTCAATTCCCATAATCCTTCAGCTGGCATGCTTTAAGAGGGGAGGACTTCCACTCCCAGAATCCTCTAGCCAGAATGCTTTAAGAGGGATGGACTTCAATTCCCAGAATCCCTCAGCAGGCATGCTGGGAGTTGAAGTCTGGATGCTTACAATTAGTTTTCCAATAGCTGCATGACAAGACTTGCAATTAACAAAAGTTAAAGACGCTAACAATTGCCAACTTCCTCTTTTCCCACAAGCCTCTGGGTCTGTTATGGCTGCTTAAGCCAAGATGGCGGCCAATTCCCAGAATCCCCTCTGCCTTCAACCGCCTTCCTTTTGCCTCTTTCGTGTTTCCATAGGCAACCACCGAACCGCCAAAAAAGAAACCAGATCCCGTCACATCGGAAACCGTGGTGATCTGGGGTTTGCGACTCTGGCAAGTGGTTGGGATTTTTGCCATTTTTGTGCTGAGTGTTAGTAAGTGCTGTTCCTTCTTTTTTAATTTGCATCCTCTTGAGTTACTGATTTTATTGCCAGGGAGGTCAAAAAAGTCAAAATGGCATAGTACACTTGCGTCTGCCATCTTCACATTTTTTCACTTCTTTCTTGTGGACTTGCCTTTTGGGAAGTATAAAAGAAAAAAAATTTGGTCTCCTCCAGTACAGGTAGTCCTCGACTTACAATAGTTCATTTAGTGATGGTTCAGAGTTACAACAGCAATAAAAAAAAAAGGTAAGTTTTTCACACTTACGACCGTTGCAGCATTCCCATGGTCCCGTGATCAAAATTCAAAGGCTTGGCAACTGACTCATACTTATGACCGTTGCTGTGTTGGCAGGGTCACGTGATTCACTTTAGCGACCTTCATTCAATAGGGAAGGCCAATTCATTTAACAACCAGGTTATTAACTGATCAACTGCAGTGGTTCACTTAACAGCTATGGCAAGAAAGCTCGTACAATGGGACAAAACTCACTTAACAAATGCCTCGCTTAGCAACAGAAATTTTGGGCTCAGTTGTGGTGGTAAGTCAACTGTCTGTTTAGTGACTGTTCAAAGTTACAACAGCACTGATAAAAAGTGACTTATGACCGTTTTTCACACTTATGACCGTTGGAGCATCTCTGTAGTTGTGTGATCGAAATTCAGGCACTTGGCCACTGACTTGTATTTATGACGTTCGTAGTGTCCTGGGGTCACGTTTTGTGACCTTCTGACTCAACGGGGCAACGGGGAAGCCAAATTCACTTAACAGTCGTGTGACTAAGTTAACAACTGCAATGATTCACTTAATAACGGCAGCAAATGGGGCAAAACTCACTTAACAAAGGTCTCGCTTAGCAACAGAAATTTTGGGCTCAATGGTGGTCGTAAGTCGAGGATTACCTATACATTCTGATTTCTAATCACACGAGCACAGGAATGCTGCAACTGTTATAGGTCTGAAAAACGGCGGTAAGTCAGTGCTTTCAATGCCATTTGAATGGTTGCTAAACAAAGAGTTATAAGTCAAGGACTGTGCAAAGCCAACTGCACCCCATTAGGAGCAGCCTCTGTAGCTCTTCAGGTTGAATTGTTGCCTGCAGTAGAGAATCTGGATGGGTTTTTAGAGTCATAAATAATGGCGGCACGGTTGACAGGACTCGAACTCGCTGCTATCCCCGGGAATTAAGCAAACGGCAACTGTTCCACCGCACGCCCCATTGATTCCACCTGGCGCGGGCCGTTTTCCAGGTCTGCAGCCTGCCTGCTGGCATTGGAAGAGAAAGCCTGGAAGAAAATGTTCCCGGACAGGGGAGGAAATATTTGCACCATTAAATAGGCATCATCGCGGGAAACGCAGCCAGATTTTTCCCGCGGGCTGACAGTGAAAACAGACCCACCAAAGAAGCTGCCAGGAAGAGAAAACAAGCATTTTAAGGAGTCCATTTTTTAAAATTTATTTATTTATTTTATATTTTTGAGGCAGATTTAATTTCACGAGCATCGCGCAGGGAATGCGTGCTGAGTATGCCGGACGGCGAAGTTACTCAAAACATTTTGACTTTGCCAATTGGCGCGTTTGTTTGGCTTCCCGTCGTGTTTGACTTTCCCAGCGAATCTTTCTCAGCAACGCATCAAAAGGGCTTGTGAAGAACGAGCCAGACTCCCATTGTGGACTTTTAGTTGAGGTTCCGTAGACAGGGGGAAGTCCTCCACTTATGACCTTTCATTTAACAACCGTGCAGTTATGGCGATGCTGAAAATTTTTAATTTAATTTAGTTTAAATTAAGCTTATGTTTTCAAAAAAATTAATATGCTGTCCATTTCATTATCAAGTGACTTGGGGCCAATTACAGTGTCGTAAATCATAGTATAAGTTGTCCTCAACTTACAACCTTCCTTCCTGCCTTCCTTTTTCTTTTTTTCCTTCTTTGTCTTTCTTTCTTTCTTCCTTCTTTCCTTTCCTCCTTCCTTCCTTCTCCTTTCCTTTTTCCTTTTTCTCTCTTCCTCCTTCCTCCATATTTCTTTCTCTTCCTTTGTTCCTTTTATTTTTCTTTCTTTTAAAAAAAATTTTTAAAAAGTTTTTTTATTTTAAACATAGTTAAAAAGACATACATAGACATACAAACATATACAAGAATCTTAGTTTCTTTTTCAGCTACTTAACAGTGATCCATTTCTTACTATATATTATATAGTATACTATATATTTCTTACTTTTTTTCTTTCTCTCTCTTTCTCTCTCCTTCTCTCCTGTCCTTTTTACTTTTCCCCCCTCTGTTCCTCCTCCCTTTCTTTCTCTGTCTGTCTTTCTTTCATTCTTTTCTTTCTTTCTTTTTCTTTCTCCTTCCTTCCTTCTGTCCTTCTTCCTTTCTTTTTTCTTTCTCTCTCCTCCCTTCCCCTTCTGTTTCTTCTTTCCTCCCTCCTGTTCTTCCTTCCTCCTTTCTCTTCTTCCTCTTTTCCCCCTCTCTTCTTCTCCTTCTTTCATTTCGTTTTTATTTCCCCCCATTCTGCACCCTCATCTTTTTCCTTGCTTTTCACCATTCAATTCCAATTTTTAAAAATTTAATCCAGCGGTCTCTCCTTTGGGGAAGCCCCAAATGTGTGTGTGGTGGTGGTGTGGGGGGTGTCATCCTCCCTTGGGGGTAGGGGAAAGCTCTCCTGAGTAAGCCACTCACTCCTTTCTCTCCAGCCAATTCTCCCTTCTTTCCTCCCCATTTTTAGTCATCACCCTCTGTTGCATCTTCAAATGTCGCATCCCGAGGACCAAGAAGGAGATCGAGGCCCGCTATGCCAAGAGACAGGCGGCCAAGATGTACGCAGACAAGCTGGACACTGTGCCCCCCCTTAATGAACTGACCGAGATCCCAGGAGGTGAGGACCCCCATTTTTTTTCTCTGGGGCTGAAGAGGGGGTTGGAAATTGGGGCGTCAGGTAGCGGGAGGCCTCGACTTACGACCACAAAAGGGAGCAGAATTTCTATTGCTAAGCAAGTGAATGAGTGAAGCTGTTTAGTGAATCGCTCGGTCGTTAAGCGGATCCAGCTGGGCCCATTGACTTGTCTTGTCAGAAGTGTGGTGATTCGTTTAACAACCGTGGCATAAAAGTTGTCAGATCAGGTGGGACTTGCCTACCGATGGTCTTGCTTAACAATTTGAGTATCCATTGTGGTTGTAAGTCGAGGACAACCTGTACAGAAAGGAACTGCAGCCAGCTGTGTTCCTCCTCCTTCTCTGCCATTAGAAGGCTGAGCGACTCACCTGCCTCTTGCAATGGCCAGACTCACAGGTGACCTGCAGGTGTGGCAGCTCTGTCCACCCTGATCACAAGTTCATTGGCTTAAGTAAGTGACCAGCTCTGAACTCTTGATGGTTTTCTTTCCTTCCTTCCTTTTATTTCTCTCTCACTCTCCCCTCTCCCTGCTTCCTTTCCTCCCCCTTTTCCCTTCCTTCCTTCCTTCCTTCCTCCTCCCTCCCTCCCTTTTATTTCTCTCACTCTCCCCTCTCCCTCCCTCCCTCCTTTTCAATCTTTCCTTCCTTCCTCTCTCCTCCTTCCCTCCTTCCTTCCTCCTTCCTTTCCTCCTCCCTCCCTCCCTTCATTTTTCTCTCACTCTCTCCCCTCTCCCTGCTTCCTTCCCTCCCTCTCTTTTATCTTCCTTCCTTCCTTTTTCACCATCCCTCCCTTCCTCTTTCTTTCAACCCTCCTGCTTTCCTTGCCTTCTTCTCCTTTTTTCTCCTTCTCTCTCCTTCCTTACTTCCTCCCTCCTTCCCTTTCAGTCCTCCTTTTTTTCTTTTATTCTTTCCTTTCCTCCCTGTTTCCTTTCCTTTCCTCCCTTTCCTTCCCTCTTCTTCCCTTCCTTTCCTGTCCTGTCCTGTCCTTTCCTCTTCTTTCCTTTCCTTCGTCTCCCTTTCCTTTCTTTTCCTTTCCTTTCCTTTCCTTTCTTTTCCTTTCCTTTCCTTTCGTTTCCTTTCCTTTCCTTTCCTGTCCTGTCCTGTCCTGTCCTGTCCTGTCCTGTCCTGTCCTGTCCTGTCCTGTCCTGTCCTTTCCTTCCCTTCCCTTCCCGTCCCGTCCCGTCCTGTACTTTCCTCTTCTTTCCTTTCCTTTCCTTTCCTTTCCTTTCCTTTCCTTTCCTTTCCTTTCCTTTCCTTTCCTTTCCTTTCCTTCATTCTCCTGCTTCTCTGCCTCTTCCAGGCTCCACCGAAAGCCTCCCGACTCTTTCGGGCCAGCTGGAAGCACGACCGCTAACCTCCCTGCCAGCCGTCCAGGAAGAAGAGGAAGTCGCGGGGGAAGCCCACTAGAGGCCGCCCACCTCCCGCTTTCCATTCCCTTCTCCAGCGCTGTCCTTCGTTCGCGATCCTGTGTCTCTGCGTGTGTCTCTCTTTCTCCGCTGCATTTGCCTTTTTCTTCCTCCGGCCGCGTTGCTTCTCTTTTACCTTCGCCCCGAGAGCCTCACCTGTCACCTCCACCTCCTCCCGCAACCCGAGCAGCTCCAAACAGGCGCTCAGGTAGAGCTCAAGCGGTTCCCTCAACTTCTTGCCGTTGAACACAGGAAACCCTCGATTTACGACCGAGCCCCAAATTTCCGTTGGTAAACGAGACATTTGTTAAATGAGCTTTGCCCCGTTTCATGACCTTTCCCACCGCAGTTGTTAAGCGAATCACTGCCGTTGTTTCAGCTAGGAACACGGTCGTTAAGCGAATCTGGCTTCCCCCTTCCTCAGAAGGAGGTCGCAAAAGGGGAATCGCATGACTCCGCAGCACTGCAACCGGCATAAATACGAGTCAGTTGCCAAGTTTCCAGATTTTAATCAGAGGATCGAAGGGAGGCTCTGCAACAGTCATAAGTGTGAAAAAGTCACTTTTTTTCAGTGCTGTTGCAACTTTGGTTGCAACTCAAGGTTGACTCAGCCTTCCATCCTTCCGAGGTAGGCAAAATGAGGACCCGGATTGTGGGGGCAATAAACTGACTTTGTATAAAAATATTCAAAAGTATGATGGCTATTGCTTAACGCATTGTAAGCTGCCCTGAGTCTCCGTAAATAAATAAATAAATAAATAAATAAATAAATAAATAAATAAATAAATGCAAAGAGATACAGGATGCCAACCCTTGCAAGAATGCAACATTCAATTTGTGCCAATTAAATTCTGCCTTGGATAAAGAAATATAGCCAATCCTTGATTTACAACTGTAACTGTTCAAAGTTTATACTGAAAAAAGGGACTTACGACCGTTTCTTTACACTTACGACTGTCATAGCATCCTCCTGATCAAAATTCAACAGTTTGCCAACCGACTCGTATTTATGGCAGTCGCAGTGTCCCAAGGTGACGTGATTTTCTGACGAGCAAAGTCAACCCAGATTCGCTTAACAACCGTCTGACTAACTTAACAACTGCAGTGATTCCCTTACCCACTTTGGCAAGGAAGGTCGTAAAATGGGGCAAAGCTCACTTAACGACTGTCTTGCTTAGGAAGGGAAATTTTGGGCTCAGTTGTGGCCGTAAGTCGAGGACTCACTGCGGAAAGGTTGAATCTGCAGAGACAAGAAAAACAAGCGAATATTACAAGGATGGATGAAGTGGAAAATAGCGTTGCCTACAAGGGGGTCAAAAAAGGCAAGATGGCGTCCACAGCCAAGCAGTCCTGAGGGGCATCTCTGGTTTACATGCAACATGGCGGCATTCTTAGAATAAGTGTTTAGTCATTGAGGCCTAACATTATGGTTGTAAATCATGACAAAAATGTTTTTCGGCCTGTTTTATGACGGTCGTTAAATGAAACTCATTGTTTCCTATGGGGCAGCTTTACTTGAAACCAGAAATAGGCACCAGTGTTGGGTGCTTGGTAAACGGTTTAACTTTACGGCCGACATACAATCAATCACATAAAAATATTTACCACAGTTTTCATTAATTTTTATTTTTATTTCTATTTACTATTTATTAATTTTTTTATTATTTTTTTCCTTTTTTGGGTGGTTTCCAGCAAAAAACAACCATAGGAATGCATTGATCCACTTAACCACTACTGTACTGGCTTAAAGACCACTGCCAAAAATGTCATAAAATTGGATTTGGGTGCCTCAATTTATGACCGTCGTGACTCACGATGGAAATTCCAGACACTATTACGATCATAAATTGAGGATTGAGTTTGTTCAGCAGAGTTAGTCCTGAATTTGAACTGGAGCAAACATCTCCATTCTTGGTTCAGCTAGAAAAAATATGCATTATTAATATATTGCAAATTATTAATATATTACAACATTAATATTTAATAAAATAATATTTAATGAGGAAATGGAAATAACTTATTAAACATCAGTGACTAGCAAAATTGTTAACTGGAAAAAAGGGAAAACAGGCAGAGAAAAGGAAGACGAGAGAGAGAAAGAAAGAACTGGTAAGAATTTACATTATTTCAACTACAGGTAATCCTCGATTTACGACCATTTGTTCAGTGGCTGTCAAAGTTACAACGTCACTGAAAAAAGTGACTTATGAACATTTTTCACACTTAGTGGGAAGCCTGATTCACTTAACAACCATGTGACTAGGTCAACAACCGCAGTGATTCGCTTAGCAACTATGGCAAATGTTGTAAAGTGGAGCAAAATTCACTTGATAGCTGTCTTGCTGAGCAACGGAAAGTTTAAGAGGCAGCTTGGAGTCATATTAGTGGCATAGAAGCACCATTGGCAAGAAGTAAGTAAGACACAGGTAGTCCTTGACTTACGACTGGAATTAAACCTGGAATTGCGGTCATTAAGTCATTGCAGTCGTACATCTTGTGACCAGATTTGAAGAGTATTTTTAGGACAGTCCTTAAGTGAGAACAACGGTCATTAAGTGAATTTATTTTTCCTGCCTGGCCATTTTTTAAAAAAGGGTGGTAAGTCACTCAGAAGAGGTCCATCTAACGTGAAATGGTTGCTAAGCCACTGGTCGTAAAGTGAGGATTACCTAGAAAGAGGATTATGACAAACCTGGGTTTGGTACAGCCCAGATAATCCTTTATCACGGATATTTATTTATTTTGCTTATTAATGGGTTTTTACACTGCCCATCTGCCCTACGGAGGGTTCCTTCAATGCGCAGGGGGGGCTGGATTAGATGATCTCAAGGGACATTTCCAATTCAAGGGTTAAAAATTAAAAGTGCTCCGCTAGAGGACCCTGGTCATTAAAAGCTCCTTCCAAACTTTGGAGTGGGTTTGAAAGAAGAGTGCGAACGGTCTTGAGGATGGTGTTCCTGCCCATCGTGGAGGGGTGGACTAGATGACCTTTGGGGCTCCCTCCCAATTCGCCAATTTCTCCGGTTCTCCGGCTCTCTTGCTATGAGATGGTTCAGGCTTCCTCTTGGAATTTATAACTCTACCTCGCGTGTGGCAGGAAACAAGCTGCTTTTGGTTGCTCTAGCCAACAAATCTTGGTTTGTGTCCAACGAGAAGCGACGTGGCGTTCCAGACAAACATCTGGCCAGCTTGTAATTAAGAGACAGAAAAACAGCTCCAGGTGATGACAACACGAAAAGCCAGATTTCTTATAGAACATATCCTGCAGGGAGGCAGGAAATTTTCAGAAAGTTTTGCAAAAGTGTGTCTGTGAGGGAGAGAGGGTCCCCAGTTTGCAGATGAACCCCTAAAAGAGACATATATATTCCTTAAAGTCTTCATTGAAATATTTGGGGACATAGGTTTCATCCTTATGCACCTCTGTTTTCCAGCAGGCTAGACTTTAAATTAGTTTTTTCTCAAAAGTTGGCAGCTTTAAGATGTTTGGACTTCAATTCCCAGAATTCCTCAGCCAGCATTGTGGCTGGGGAATCCTGGGAGTTGAACTCCATGCATGCTTGCTAGGGGATTCTGGGAGTCAAAGCCCACCCACCCCTTAAACCATGCCGGCTGGAGAATTCTGGGAGTCGAAGTCCACTCTTCTTAAAACATTAGTTGGCTGGGGGATTCTGGGAGTTGAAGTCCTCCCCTCTTAAAGCATTGCTGGCTGGGGGATTCTGGGAGTGGAAGTCCATACCTTTTAAAAGTTGGCAAGCTACAAAACACTACAATATAGAATCGAAACAAGGTGAGTTTTAAAAAGAAAAACACTATTATAAAATCCTCATCTCCAAAAGCTCTCCGGTTAACCAAAAATGAAAGTTTAATCAACATTTAAAAGCTGAATGAAATACAGTGCTATTAATTAATCTCCCAGGCAGGTTAAATAAATTTTCCGTACATTTTCCTTTAGCTGTTCAATATCCAGCAAGCAGAACGAAAGAGTAGCGATGGTGCACAAGTTTATTTTATCCAGAATCCATCTTGGTGTCCCACTCTTTATAGTTTAAATTTCAAAGAGATTTTGTTGTGATTGTACATACAGGAAGTCCTCGACTTACCACTGTAATCAAGCCCAAGAATTCTGTTGCTATGTGAGGCAGTAGTTAAGTGAATTTCACCCCGTTTTACGACCTCTCTTGCCAGAGTTGTAAAGTAAATGATTGCAGCGGTTGAGTAACCTGGCAAGAACCTGGATAGCTCAGCAGACTAAAGCTTATTATTAACATTCAGCTGCCTGCAATTACTGCAGGTTCGAATCTCCCCAGGCTCAAGGTTGACTCAGCCTTCCATCCTTTCTAAGGTAGGTAAAATGAGGACCCAGTTTGTGGGGGCCATAAGCTGACTTTGTATAAAATATACAAAAGTATGAAGGCTATTGCTTAACGCATTGTAAGCCACCCTGAGTCTCCGGAGAAGGGCGGCATATAAATCAAATTAAAAAAAAAAAAAAAGTGAATCTCGCTTCCTCATTGACTTTGCTCATCATATGGTCATAAAAGGGGATCACGTAACCCCGTCATGAATACGAGTCAGTTGTCAAGCACCTGACTTCTGCTCACTTGACCCTGGGGAAACCGCAATGGTCGTTAAGTGTGAAAAACTGTCATAAGTCACTCTTTTCAGTCACTTGGTACCTTTGAATGGTGACTAAATGAACTATCGTAAGTCGAGGACTACTTTTATTGTAATAATTGCCTTTTTTTAAAAGAATATCCTTCAGGACTTCCTCTTTCTGGTTGCACAAAATAAAGATATGGAACGTAAATTTCCAAAACTAAAATAAGAACAAATTACAAAGATATTTTATTTGGGCATTCAAATATATAGGAAGTCCCCAAGTTATGACTACAATTGAGCCCCAGATATCCATTGCTAAGCAAGATGCTTCTTAAGCGGGTTTTGCCCTATTTTACGACTTTTTCTTGATGCAGTTGTTAAGCGAATCCCTGCTGTTGTTAACTGAATCATGTGTTCATTAAGCGAATCTGGGTTCCCCCCATGGACCTTCCTAGTCAGAAGGAGGTGGCAAAGGGTGATCCTGGAGCAGCACAACTGTCATGTGTCCATGCCAGCTGCCAAGTGCCCAAATTTTGATCATATGACTGTAAGGAAACTGTGATGGTCATAAGTGTGAGGACCAGTCATAAAATGGATCTTCCTTCTCTGCTTCAGCTGTTCTCCATCCAGGTTTGCCCCAGTTAATCTAAGAGCAAATTATCTTCCTTCCTTCCTTCCTTCCTTCCTTCCTTCCTTCCTTCCTTCCTTCCTTCCTTCTTTCCTTCCTTCCTTTCTCTCTCTGATTCCTTTCTCTCTCTCTCTCATCTTCTTTCCTTTATCTCTTCTTCCTTCTTTCCTTCCCCTCCCCGTTTCTCCTTCCTTCCTTCCTTCTTCCTTCCTTCCTTCCTTCCTCTTCCTTCCTCTCTCTCATTCCTTTCTCTCTCTCATCTTCTTTCCTTTATCTCTCCTTCCTTCCTTCCTTCCTCCTTCCTTCCTTCCTTCCTTCCTTCCTTCCTTCCTTCCTTCTTCTTATCTTCTTTCTGTCTCTCTCTCTCTTATCTTCCTTCCTTCCCTCCCTCCCTCCTTCCTTCCTCTTTTTTCCTTTCTCTCTCTCTTATCTTCCTGCCTGCCTGCCTGCCTTCCCTCCCTCCCTCCCTCTCTTCCCTCCCTCCCTCCCTCTCTTCCTCCCTCCCTTCTTCCTTCCTTCTTCTATCCTTCTCTCTTATCTCCCTTCTTATCTTCCTTCTTATCTTCCTTCCTTCCTTCCTTCCTCTCTTATCTTCTTTCCTGTCTCTCTCTCTCTTATCTTCCTTCCTTCCCTCCCTCCCTCCTTCCTTCCTCTTTTTTCCTTTCTCTCTCTCTTATCTTCCTGCCTGCCTGCCTGCCTTCCCTCCCTCCCTCCCTCTCTTCCCTCCCTCCCTCCCTCTCTTCCCTCCCTCCCTTCTTCCTTCCTTCTTCTATCCTTCTCTCTTATCTCCCTTCTTATCTTCCTTCTTATCTTCCTTCCTTCCTGCCTGCCTTCCTTCCTTCTCATTCTATTTCCACCTTCTTTCTTTTTATTTCATATTTCTGTTTCCGTGGCAGAGACCTTTTTTTCATTCATATTTAATATACATGTAAATATTCCCAATCCTTGACTCCCACCCATTCATTTACTGACGTGCAAAGTTACAACAGCACTGGAAAAGGTGACTTACGACCAATTTTCACACTTACGACCATGGCAATATCCCCGCCATCACGTGATCAAAATATGGGTGCTTGGCAACTGACTCATAGTTATGACGGTTGCAGTGCAGGAAAGCCAATGGGGAAGCTGGATTTATTTAACAACTGCAACTCACTTAACAACGCCTTGATCAGCAACGGAAATTCTCATCCTGATTTTGGTCGTAAGTCGAGGATTACCTATATGACATTTATGCAGTAATCAGTTAGAATAAAAATTACGAATGAATCTGATCTACAGCTATCAATTATATTTATCCCCATTTAAGAGGTTTTTGTGACTCCCTGATGCTTTTTTAAAAAAATTTCTGCTAGCAGAGGCTTTTAAAAATAATCTCTATTTAATGTAGGGATGACATTTATATAGCCATGGGTAATCCATTAGAATAAACATTATGAGTATAACTAAAATATAGTTATTGGCTAAATGTATCTTTACGGAAGGACGTGAGTTTAATTTTTCTGCCAAAAGAGTTTTTAATTGGCAAATGAACCTGATCTTCAGAAAACGTTTTTAAAGAGAGTTTTGCGACACCAAAATTAACAGCCAGCTAAGAATTAAGTGATTTTTTCCCCCCACACCTGGGTCAATTTATAGGCAATATAGATACAGGGAGTCCTTGACTTATGACCATCATTGAGCCCAAAACTTCTGTTGCTAAGCGAGACCTTTCTTGTCAAGCTGTTAAGCGAATCATTATGGTTATTAAATTAGTGACATGGTCGTTAACTGAATCTCGGCTTCCCCGTTGACTTTGTACATCAGAAGGTCGCAAAAGGGGATTATGTGACCCCAGGACACTGCAACCGTCATAAATACGAATCAGTGTCTGAATTTTGATCACGATGCTGCAAGTGTGAAAAAGGGTCATAAGTCATTTTTTTCAGGGCCACTCTAACTTTGGTCATTAAACGAATGGTTGTAAGTCGAGGAATAACTATCTATTTTATTATTTCATTTTATTCAGTTTCTAATCGCTGCCCAACTCAACCAAGTCATGCTGGCCTGGACTAAATCTTCTCCTTTTTTAAATTTAAATTTTAAACACAAATTTTAATCTGTTTAATTATGGGGTATTTTAAATTCAGCCAAATTATTTATTTTTTTAAAAAGTATTTAAAGTTCAGCCAAATTATTTAATTTGTTTTAATCTATTTTAAATTTTGTATCTCTGTGTTTTATCTTCTGGCTGTTCACCGCCCTGAGTCCTTCGGGAGAAGGGCGGTATAGAAATTTAATAAAATAAAATAAATAAATAAATAAAATAAGTGACTTTTTGTGCAAAATGAAAAACAAACAAACAAACGAACGAGGAAACATTTAACATAAACTGTAAAGCTGGGTTGGCTTTCTTGCAGATGTCTCATTGACCCAACTAGGGAACATTATCAGTGCTAGAAGGGAGTGGAGGTTGGGGAGAGGAGGAGGAGGAGAAAGGGAGGAGGACTGCAGAGATTTCATGACCCCTCTCCCTTCTAGCACTGATAATGTTACGTAGTTGGGTCATGAGACGTCTGCAAGGAAAGAACTCAGCTCAGAGAGCACCGGGGACCCCATTCTTGTTATTAATGACATTTTTTTGCTTCTGCCCCATCCCCTCTCTTTCTTTTCCTTCACCAGGTCTGGCCAACGTGAAGGCAGAGGAAGAAGAAGAAGAAGAAGAAGTGCCCACCGTATCAGGCAAAGTAGATGCCCAGAAGAAGAAAGAAAAATCAAAAGAGGGAAAGAAAGAAAAGAAGAAGCAGCAAGAAGAAAAAGAAGAAAAGGAAGCATCTGAGAAGGACAGGAAAGAGGGAACAAAGCAAAAACAAAGCAAGAAAGAAGGGAATGAGACAAAATCAGAGAAGAGGAAGAAAGAGGAAGGAGGAAAGAATGGCAGCAAAGAGAAACACAGAGGCAGTTCCAGAGCACGTTCGAAAACACCCGGAAATCCTAAAACTTCATCCCGGAAAAAGTGAGTGAAGATGAGAGAAAATTGCAAGAGAGAGAAAGAGAGAGAGAAAAACAAACCCAGAGGCTTTAAAAAAAAGAGAGAGAGCACTTTTTGCACTTTTTCAAGGTCTTCTGAGTGTTTGCATCGCTTTGGACTCATTAAAAATAAATGCTGATCAATAAAAATAAATCTCAAGCTTGAGGTCTAGAAACTTGAACAAGCATCTTGAAATCCATATTGGCGATCTCTTTTGTCCTGTTGCAAAAAAGAAAAGAAAAGTACAATTGTGAACTCAATTCAGAATATTTAGGGGGGGAAAGGATTGTTTTTAGCAACTGTATTTGTCCAGTGCAATAACTTAATCCGTAAAAAAAAATCCTAATTGTTTTGGAAAAAAGCAATATATGGGGGAAATAATTATTATCCCAATGATATGCGTTTGCACGTGGCAAGACCCAGCAGGTAGCAAATAAAAATAAATTCAGATTTTTTTTCCAGTGGATTTTGAAAACATCTGTTCAAAAGGCAGATGGTTAATGAGGGTTAAAAAATGTATAATTATGCTTTGAAGTCCTAATTTGTTCAAGATCATTAGGACTGCCCAGTTTATGGCAATGCTCAGAAAATCAAATTCTTTCCGGGGAAAGAGTGCCTCTAGGCATGTACAGAAGGCCGTTTCGCATTTTAGCATCTGGAGCAAGATGGGTCATTTGCTCCAAGCGATGATTTGAAAGGGAAGTTTTCATTTTTTGGAAAAAGAAGTGTTAAAGATTATAACACAAGGTCAAATACAAATAAAAATTGAGAAAGTTAAAGAGAGAAGAAGAAAAAAGGAGAAAGAAGCCAAAAAGAACGAAAAAATCAAAGTGACTTCTGTTGTTTTTTTTCCAGCACAATAACACACACACAAAAATTCACAGCCTCAATTTTTGGCTTTACATTTCTTTGATGATTTATAAAAGACATGCTATAATTTCTTTCAAGCAATATATGTATTGCTTGAATATATATTTATATATATAAAAAATCTAGAACAGCAAAATCATTCTAAGTGGCAAAGTCTAAAATCAGAGTTTTTCAGATTCAAATACAGGCAGTCCTGGACTTACAACAGTTCATTTAGTGACCATTTGAAGTTACAACTGCACTGAAAAAAGAGACTTATGACCGTGTTTCACACTTACGGCCGTTTTAGCATCCCCAGTCATGTGATCAAAATTCAGACACTTGGAAATGAACTCAGATTTATGACAGTAGCTGTGTCCTGGGGTCCTAGGAGCAAGGGATTGGACTAGATGATCTCTTAAGACCTCCTTCTGAGATATGCCTCTTTGGTCTTTTTAACATTCAACACCATGAATTTAAATATTTCCTTTCTTTTTGTGTGTGTGCAATATTGGTCTACGTTTAACCTGATTTATTTATTTATTGTTCTTTGCTTGTTTTCCAATTATTATTTTTTTAAGAAACATCTATAAATTGGTTTTCTCCTAATACTGTTGTGTGTATTTTTTTTCTATTTCTTCCCCTCGTCCTCTCTTGTTACTCAATACATGTTTCTGGGCTTAAATTTTTTTTTATGTCCCTTTTCTGAATTACAGATGCATTACGAAAAAAATCTGGGCAATTTTTGAATTTGCAGAGTTTATTAGTAAATCAGAGAGTCCAGTGGAAGTCTCTACCAGTTCTGAACAGAAGGAGCTTTCCAGATTATCTCGCTACCTGTATTTTTAATTTAGAAAACTTAATGCACAGCATTTCAGAAAGGAACTTCTCTGTTCCCTTAGAGACGGGAACCATTTTAAAATCTAATTTTCTTGACATGACGATGATTATGCATATGTTTATCGCTGGGAAAATTGTGCGTGGGATACAAGAGTTTCCAGCACAAAATTGCATTTCGGAGGCACGCTGAGATAAATAGGCTCTGTTGCACTCATTGGCGGATGTTAAAATCATCTCGAGCTGAACCACTCAGCAACCTCTCTGATGATCGAAAACACCACTAGGCTCTTGGCTGGATTCGCACCTGGTGCTCGCAGGGCAGAAGGAGAAAAAGATGCCTCGATTTGAAGACAAGGGCTCACTGAGACCCCGCCTCTTTAATGGAGCAGATGGTGGTAATTTCCAGACCAAAGATATAGGTAATCCTCGATTTACGACCACAACGGAGCCCAAAAATTTCTGTTGCTAAGCGAGACATATTTTAAATCGGCCTTTGCCCCATTTTAGGGCCTTGCTTGTTAACTGAATCGGCGCAGTGGTTAACTTAGGAACACGGTTGTTAAGTGAGTTTGGCTTCCTCACTGACTTTGCTTGCCAGAAGGTCACCAGAGGGGGATCAGGTGACCTCCAGGACACTGAGACCGTCATAAATCTGAGTCAGTTACCAAGAGTCTGAATTTTGATCCCATGAGGGGATCACAGGATGCTGCAACGGTTATAACTGTGAAAAATGATCCTAAGTAACTTTTTTCAGTGCTGCTGTAATTTACAACGGTCGCTAAATTAACTCTTGTAAGTCAAATACTATCTGTATTTCTGTCCTGCCTTTATTATTTTGGCAAATAACTCAAGATTACAAACATACTTAATGCTCCTTTCTAGGTAATTGACCCAGCTGGCTTTCATGCCTGAACTAGAATTCCCTGTCTCCTGGTGATTGGCCCAAACTCACCCAGTTGGCTTTCATGCCTAAGGCGGGACTAGAACTCACCGTCTCCTGGTGATTGGCCCAAAGTCACCCAGTTGGCTTTCGTGCCTA